GACGAGCGGGTAGACCGCCACGAAACAGAGCCGGAACCCTGGCTGAAGGTGTAACCCTGTGACGACCGTTGCGTAGCCTGGACGTCAGCCCAAGAAGCGTCAGCGTGACCTGTGAGGACCACTGGACTCCGCCCTCCAAGCACTAGCCCCATGCCCGACGTACTGCACAAGTAGCGCAACACCCTCTTCGCTGCAGCCATGTGCTCTGGTCGGTGTCTCCCAAGAGCAACATAGCATGCCAAGATGCTAAGAGGGTATGCAAGGTCAGGTCGTGTGCAGGTCATCAAGTACATGAAGCAGCCAACAAGCTCTGGGTACGGGCCACTCGGCTCTACGGACTCATCCGAAGGCAGAGCTGAGAGCGAGTGGCGAGTAAACAGAGGAGTGGCCTGAGGCGAGGAGTACGTGAAGCCGAAGCGCTGAAGGACCTGCTGCACCATGTGTGACTGAGTCAGGGTAATGGTGCGGAGTACTCTGTCCCAAGTGATCTGCAAGCCAAGGTAGCTGCGCAGTTCACCCAGGTCTGTGCACGTGTGTCTCTTCTGCAGCTCAGACTTCAAGTGGGCGAGTCCAGCAGTGTCAGCAGTGGCAAAGACCAAGTCGTCGACGTACACGAGGATGTAGAACGGCGGCAAAGAGGTGTCGGTGCGCAGAAACAGCGACGGGTCGGCAGCAGAAGGAGCAAACCCATGAGCCGCAAGTGTAGTCCTCAGTGTGTCGTGCCACTCACGGGGCGCCTGGCGGAGACCGTAGACTGGCCGCCGGAGGCTCTGGGTACCAGGGGGAAACGACCCAGTGAAGCCAGGTGGGCGGCGCAGCCAGATCTCCTCGTGCAGGCTGCCCTGCAAGAAAGGTGTGCTAAAGTCAAAAGAGTGAAGCTCGTAGTCGCGCTGAGCGGCTATGTGCAGCAGCACCCAAAGATTGGTCATCTTCGGGGTGGGAGAGAAGGTCTGAAAGTAGTCAACTCCCTGCCGCTGACTAAAGCCTCGAGCCACGTAACGCGCCTTGAAGACATGCGGAGAACTCGGCGGCCGCTTCACCCTGAAAATCCACATGCCACTGACGATGTTCGCCCCAGGTTGGGGAACCTCGTCGACGTAGGTGCCTGTGGACTTCCAGGAAGCCATCTCTGCGTCCATGGCTGACTGCCACTGTGAGGAGTAGGGAACCTCGATCGCCTCAGCGTACGATCGAGGAGTCGGGATGTCTGGTGCATCCGAGTCTCCCTCAGGGGCAATCAGCGTGGACATGAGATGAGGCAAAGCAGCAGCAAAACACTGGAACTCCTCCTGCCTGTCCTCAAGGACGTCCGTGCTAATAGCACACTCACCCCTGACGGACGGAGGACAGACAGACTCAAACTCAGCAACGAGACTAGCGGCGTAGTCTAGACGACAGCGAGCAGCAAAGTCGACAAGCTCACCAACTAAGGCAGACGCAGCAGTGGACTCAAAGGAAGGGTCAGTGACAACACTAGCCAGGAGACGCCTGTGTAGGACTGGCAGCACCACGAGAGTCAGACTCCGGGTCAGCAAGGACAGGAAGAGAGGACTCTGGAGGAGATGGCAACGGGACACGCAGAGGAGCAGTGGAAGGACGAAGTGCCATCTGGTGTGTGCCTTGGACCGCAGGAGGACGCGGACGCGGAACACGACCACTAGTGCGAGGAGCACGAACAGGCGACGTAGGACGAGACGCAGGCTCACGACGCTCAGCAAGACCTCTAGTAGGACCAGTGTAGGGAGAAGGAGCAGGTAGGGGGGAGGCGGGCTGTAACTGTGACTGTGACTGGACAGGCTGTGGACACTGTAAGGGAGGAGCAGGACGAATAGAGGGCGGGAGTCCAAGAACCTGCTCAAGGAGCGGAACGAAGTACGCTCGCGGCCGCGCAGCGCCTCCAGAACCAGCAGGGACAGTACCAGTACCCCCCAGCGGCAGCACCAGCGCCATCAGCACCTCCAGCTCCAACAGCGCCAACTCCAGCACCCTAAGAAGCACCAGCGCCAGTAGCACCCCCAGCAGCTCCAGCTCCAGCAGCTCCAGCTCCGGTAGGACCGTCAGCAGCACCCCCAGGCCCAGCAGCTCCAGTACCGCCAGTACGAGCACCTCCAGGACCAGTGGCTCCAGTAACTCCAGTGCCGACCCCAGGGTCAGCAGAAACAGCAGCACCTCCTGCTCCAGCAGCACGGCTCCAGCGCCGGGCAAACCACTCGGACAGCTCCTGTGGAGAGGTTAGCTCCCGCCTCGACGAAGCACCCGAAGGGGCCCCAAACCGAGCACCGCTGGAGGCCACACAAGCAGACCCAGCACCCCCAGGCTCCGCACCCCCAGGGTCAGCACCCTAGGCTCCGTACCCCCAGGCTACGAAACCCTAGGCTCATCTCCCCCAGGCTCCGCACCCCCAAGCTCCGCACCCCCAGGCCCAGCACCCCGAGACTCAGGACCCTCAGGCTCAGCACCCCCAGACTCAGCACCCCCAGGCTCAGCACCCCTAGCAGTACGAGAGTCAATAGCTACCTCGACAGGCTCGACTGCGTCTACCTGGAACACACCTGACGGGGCAGGACCCTGAGGGGGGAGGGGGTCTACCGGGGGGGGACCTGGCGCAAGGAAGAGCGGCGGCGGGGGGAGGGGTGCAGTGCGGTAGGGGAAGAGACGGTAGTAAGGAACCGACTCGTCAAACATGACGTCCTGGGAGGACAGAACACGGCGCGAGGTGGGGTGGTAAAACTGCCAACCAGGCGCGTCAGGGGGGAAGCCAAGGAAGACGCAAGGAACCGCACGGGGGGACAGCTTGTCCGCAGACAAGTCGCGGACAAACGCCCGAGATCCCCAGACACGAAAGGCAGATGCATCGCCAACCTTCCCCGTCCACCGCAAGGTGGGGGAGGTCTTCACCAAGGAGACCTGGGGCTGAAGGTTGAGCTGATGCGCTGCGTACCAAACCGCAAACGGCCACAGAAAATGGCGAGCAGCCGCATGGATCATGGACGTACGAGCGACGTCCATGACCATGCCAATGCGGCGCTCAGCAATCCCATTTTGCTGTGGAGAGGCCGGAAGCGTGAAGGTCTGGCGGATGCCTTGTGCATGACAGAAGGCTCCCAGAAGGGCAGAGGAAAACTCCCCGCCTCTGTCAGAGTGCAGACGTAGAACAGGAAAGTCCGAGCCGAAACTCTTTCTGAGCTGGAGACGAGCTGCGCGGATCCAGTCGATCAACACCTCAGTGACGTCACCCTTGCCGCGCAAGGGGAACACCGTGGTATAACGGGAGTAGTCGTCAACCACCAACAGGAAGTAACGCTCGTGACCCTGGCCACGTACGCGGGCGGGGCCCCACACGTCCATGTGAAGAGTATGTAGTGGAGCCTCTGTTGTAGGAAACTCAAAGGAGTGAGGGGCGGCGCGCTGCTGCCCTTCGACGTAGGGAACGCAGGTAGGGGCAGGCCCCGGAGGGAGGGGAGGGAGGGACCGGGGGAGACCAGAGACAAGGACACGGGAGGCCATGCCTCGGAGACGAGGCAGGGAGGGGTGACCAAGGCGGTGGTTGAGGAGATAACTAATACTACGGGAGCTAGACTACGGGCTAGACACGGGTGCTTGTGTGATCTCTGCGTTCGTTGGCCCTTAGTCGTTTTCCTAGTGCACACACAGCTTGCTAGTTCACGGGGAGAATTGGCAAGGGTTTCACAAGAGAAAGTTGACAACAATTGTACAATGAAGTTGGCATGGCAAGACAGCATCAGAGCTAGCATTCAGGTTGGTCGACTGCCAGCACAGCCTGGTCGACCGCGTTCCAGCACGACTTGGTCGACCACGCTCCAGCAGTGCAAAGTCGACTGCGTGCCAACGCTGCAGGTTGACGGCGTGCCAGTGTTGCTCCCGTAGAACAGTAGCGCACCTACTTCGCAGGTGCTCGTTGATGATTGGAGGGCTAAGCCTCATCACCTGAACAGTGCACGCACCAAGTTATCTTCGTGCTGACGGCTCCACCTGATCCGCCACGTCGACCTCGGGATACTACCACCGAGGTCGGACTCGCCAACTTCGCCAAGGCGACCGTCGCACTCGTAGAACCTCGTCACCCAAGTTTCCTGGTCGACCGGGCAACCATGTCGACCAGCTGCTCATGTATGTGCTCGTCGACCTCCCAAGTCGACGACCACACCAAGTCGACCTCACCAGGTCGACCACTCCTCTGGTCGACCAGCTCCAGGTCGACGTCACTCCTGGTCGACCAGCTCCACGTCGACCAGTGCAGTTGTCAACCGACCATCCAAGTCGGCTACCCAAAGTTGGCGTCGCCAAGTCGATGACCTTGCAAGTTGGTGACCTTGCAAGTCGGTGACCTGGGAAGTCGGTGACCTGGCAAGTCGGTGACCTGGGAAGTCGGTGACCTTGCAAGTCGGTGACCTTGCAAGTCGGTGACCTGGCAAGTCGGTGACCTGGCAAGTCGGTGACATGGCAAGTTGGTGACCTTGCAAGTCAGTGACCTGGCAAGTCGGTGACCTGGCAAGTCGGCGCCGACTTCCAGGTCGACATGCCACATCGCCGACCACCAGTTGAAGTCGGCCGCCGGCTTCCCAAGTCGGCGGCATTGCAACGGCCCCGTCCAAGTAGACCAGCCCCGTCGATTAGCTCGCCTAAGTCGGCGTCGCCCACTGCTGCAAGTCATCTGTACCTTCCGTAATCCCCACCACGAAGTCGGCTCCGCCCAAGCGTGGACGGGGCCAACACACAACTCCCGTTGACAGTGGTGCCAGAGGAGAGTCTGGTGGGAAAGGAGACGACACGAGCAGGGAGAAGACTCAGGACCAGACTTGGACGCTGCAGCAAACACCTGACTCGACGCAGCTGCGTGACCAGACTCAGCAACCGGAGGAGACTCAGTAGTCAGTGTGTACATGCTTGACCCCGGCCGACGGGTAAATGTGGCCAAGTGTCGGCCCGTCCGAGCACACGTACAGTGGGTCACCCGCTGACTCGCAGGAGTGAACTGGTCAACCCCCCCCGCCTGTAGATCAGCACCACTCACCAAGTTCGTAGAGAACGAGGGGAGGTAGAGACCTGACAGGGTGCCAGAGGGGGCTGCTGGACACGGTAAGAGAGTGGAGAAGTGAGCAAGGGTCTGCTAGGGAGACCGCAACTGGCCGACTAAGCGGCGTAAGCGTGGTGCGGTCTCGAAAGAAGGAGCGGGAAGCACCCGAGTCAAGAGTGAAGGTGTGTAAGGCCTGAGCCGATGTGGTACCTGAGAGAGCAGACGCACCAGCACCTGGGGCAGCACACGCACTAGCACCTAGAGCAGCAGCCTCACCAGCACCTAGAGCAGCCGCCTCAATGCCCGGGTCAGGCGGAACACACAGGTAACAGTCACCCTCATCACTAGTAGACACAGCATACATGGCAGCAAGGATAGCATCATAATCAAGATCAAAGATAGCAACCCCCGACCTCTGCAGCTCTCCCCAGCGAGGGATCTTAGTGGCGTCAGGGAACTGGAGACGCCAGGCGTTTGTCAGGCGGCCGAAGCAGCGCTGGGTGGGGTGCGGGCCCCCGCACTGCTCACCCGTACGGTCGCCAGTACGCAGGACGTAGGTACAGGGACCAGTACCCCCACCCTGCTGACGCGAAGCGTACCACTCACGAAGCTGCTGCTGCTGGCGCTGACCACCACCGAAGCCGCCCCGCTGCGCACAGCCACCCCGACTAGCTCCACCTCCTCCGCCGCCACCTCCGCCACTGCCGCCACCGCCTCCTCCTCCGCTCCCACCGCCACCGCCGCCGCCGCCTCCGCCGCCACCGCCGCCACTGAAGCCCCCACCCCCGCCACCACTCCCACCACCACCCCCACTCCCTCCGCCTTCTCCACCGCCACCTCCACCGCCCCCGCCAGTCCCTCCAGCGCCCTTGCCCCCCTTGCCCTTGCCGGTGCGGCGTCGCCCGCTAGGGGCAGACGCAACGCCGACCGACTCGGTGACAACGAAGTCGACGGCAGTAGCAGAGGCAAAAGAGGGCAAAAGGGGGGAAGGGGAGCACCCCTCAAAGACAGGGGCACGAGGGTCACCTCGAGAGGCTTCTACAGCGACTTTACTCTTCTCAGCTGCCAGGAGGCGCTCCTCGAGGAGATCAACGGTGAGTGTGGTGGGGCAAACAGAGAGGAAATGGTCCCTGATCGAGCAAAGGGAGTCAGGGAGTCGGGTGACTATGTAGTAGAGGGTGATGTACATGGGGGGGGTGTTCTTGGCGCAGAACTCAGTGGGAAGCGCAGCGCGGTAGCGGGTGTAACTAGTGCGAAGGTGCGTAATGAGGTCAGCGACTGTGGGAAAGGCAGCTAGGTCAGGGAACAGGTACGGCAGCATGAGGCGGCTAAGAGCAGCAGTGGCAGGGGAAGAGTAGCGTACAACTACACCGTCGTACAAGGTCTTAGCACTCTTGTACTGACTAAAATGCGCACGCTCAGCGGTCGGTGAGTGGCGACGCACAGCAAGACGGGCAGCAGCATCGCGTGTGGCCCACTGTGAGCGAACAGTGCTGTCAGCATCAGCAGGCGGGGCAGGAGAGGCACCAGAGGTGAGATCGAACAGGGAGAGTCCGTCTGCCCTATCGCACTGTAGGAAGAGCTGTAGGTCATCGACCCAGACCTCGAAGTCAACAGCACAACCCTCAGCATCAAAGGTAAGGACACTGGGGGTAGCCATGACAGCAGTGGTCTAGCATGGAGTGCTCTCACCAGTCCGGGTGGGTAGGGCCGGGGCGCGCCGGTAGGAACAGGGCTGCAACCGCGGTGGCAGCGGCTCGGCAGTGGCTCGGCGGCAGCGACTCGGTAGTGGCGGCTCGACGGCGGCCTCGGCGACTCGGCGGCTCGTCGGTTCGGTGGCTCCGCGGCTCGGCGGTTCGGCGGCTCGACGGCTCGGTGGTTCGGCTGCTTGGCGGCTCGGCGGCTCGGCGGTGAAGGGGCCGGGGAGGGGCCGAAAGGGGCGGCGACAGGGCCGCAAGGGGCGGCGACGGGGCCGCTAAGGGCGGCGATGAGGCCGCAAGAGGGCGGCACTGGGGCCGCGAGAGGGCAGTGACGCGGCCGCGAGAGGGCGGCACTGGGGTCCGCGAGAGGGCGGCGACGAGGCCGCGAGGAGCGGCTGCAGGGCCGCGACGGGCGGCGACGCGGCCACTAAGGGCGGTGGCGGGGCCGCGAGCGGCGGCGACGGGGCTGCGAGAGGGCGGCGATGGGGCCGTGGAGGTGGGGCCGCAAGGGGCCGCTGAGGGCGGCGCGACGGGCCGCTACGGGGCGGCGTCGCGGCCGCGAGAGGGCGGCGACGGGGCCGCGAGAGGGCGGCGATGGGGCCGCGGAGGTGGGGCCGCAAGGGACCGCTGAGGGCGGCGCGACGGGCCGCTCAGGGCGGCGCGACGGGCCGCTAGGGGGCGGCGACGGGGTCACGAGGGGCCGTGAGAGGGGGGGGCGCTAAGGGCGGCGCGACGGGTCGCTAAGGGGAGGGCGGCACACAGGGCGCGCTTCTGTCAGGGGCGACTCGATCTCAGGGCAGGAAAAAAAAGAAAGAAAACTCGATTTTCAATGGTGGGCCCTAGGAAAAGTTCCCACTAGGGAACCTGCTCTATACCATGTGAGAAATGAGGAATGGAACGACTAAGGAAAATGTGGGTACAAGTAGGAAACCTAGAAATGTTGTACCCTATAGTGTCTACCCCACTACAGCCTAGATAGACCATAACATATAAGTTTGACAAGGACTGCGCCGAATCCATGGCCGCCCGTCTGGGTGCTTCCAGGATTCTTTGTTCATGAACGGGAAGTGTAGTGGTAGGAGATCAACAATGGGGCTTGGCAGTAGGTATGTCAAAGTCCAGGACGTAGATGCCGTCCATGGAGCAAGCTCGTCCGAAGTACTTGTGCGACTCGGGGGGTGTGTCTAGAGGGGCGTAGGTGAGGAGGAGGTCTCGTGTGTACGGGTCCGTGGCGAGCATGACTCCGCAATCTTTGAGTTGTCCCGCTGAAAGTAGATTGAAGCGCAGGTTTGGGACGTAGAGCACGTCGTTGAACGAGATGTGCGTGTTGCAATCTCGTGCTTGCATGACCACGATGCCTTGTGCGTTGGCGCGTAGCTGCTCATTGTTGGCGACGGTGACGTAGGTTGTGGGAGCGCGGGTAACATTGGAGATGTATCGGACAGACCCCACCATGTGCTGTCCGCAACAACTGTCCAGGTACCAGGTGTTGTTATTGTCTTGGTTGTTGCGCAGAATTAGCGCGAGCCGCGGGTTCACCAAAGTTGCCTTGTATCGTTGTTCGTAGAGTTCGTCTTCCCTCCATCCTACCAGCATGTAGCGCTGATTGTCGTGGGCGTGCTTTCTCATAGTTCTATTGGCTATTGCTTGTCTTGCTCTTTTTTGTCGTACAGGTAATAGTGATCTTCTGTGAGCGGATTGTTCCGACCTTCTTCAGGTTGAATGAGCTCCCCGCAAGGTTCTTCTTCTTTGTCAGGTTCGACAGTGCGAGGGCGACGCCTTGTTGCCATGTTCGCGACCACGTTTCTCGGAGCTCCTGATTGAGGTCCTTGTGTTTGTTGTTGTTGCTGCTGGGCAGTAGATCGAGATGCTTGATGCTATTACTAAGGTTGAAACTGACGAGTGTCTTGTCGGCCGACCCGATTGTTGTGGTTAGTGGAGTTCGGTTGGCGATAGTTGGATCAGGATCTGCATCGATCCGTTGAATGTCCGAAGATTTTGCAGATTTTGCAGTAATGGCGGCTTTTCTGTTGTCGCTCTTCACGATTGTCCGAATAGAAGGCGAGGCGCTCTCGACGCGACGCGGAGCTTGTCCTGCTCGAGTCCATATCCTGATGTTCAGTCATGAGTGCGGCGCACAGCGCGGCTTCTGAGGTAGTTCCTCGTTGTCGAAGTAGCACTTTGCGGGGCTTCCACTCAGGTCCGAGTCCTTGGAGGATGATGTTGACAAAGATCTCCTCCGAAATGGCGCTTCCATTCTTCGTGATCTGGTCACGCATATTCCGACAGCGGTTAATGTAACTGTTTGCTTTCTCCTCGTGCCCCATCTTGGTCTCCATGAGTTGTTGCAGGAGCCTGCTAGAGGAGACTGAGTCCTTCGGCTGATATACCTCAACGGGGTGCTTCCAAGCGTCCAAGGCTGGAGCGGTGCTCTCTTTGTAAATGCGAATCCAAGCTGCTCCGCATGCGTCATGTTGCGTAGTAGTACGCTGTTTGCCATGAGGGACTCATTGTAATATTGAGCCCGGTGTCTTCCACCGGTTTAGGATAGGAGCCATCAAAGTAGTGGTAAATCTGCGCTGCCTGTAGGAGGAGCTCAAGCTCAAAACTCCACGTGTAAAATTCTTTGCCGTCAAACGCGGCAGCAGTCTTGATTTTTATGACACTGAGGAAGCGTGCTTGCGCAGAGTTGATTGCTTCGTCACTTGGACAGGGGGCAGTAGTTGTTGATTTGTCTGAGCCGAGGGAGAAGCCGTGCGCGGCGGTATCGCAGCTTTTCGCAGCCGGTTTTCCATGTTGAGCTGGTTGGGAGGAGGTTCCCGCATCGCCTTTGCGTAATTCTTGGAGCTCTTTCTCCATAGTTGATAGTCGAGCGAATAACTGCTCGAGTGCGGAAGTGCCGATCGTGGTTGTTGCCTCATTTGTCGCAGCCGGGTTGGTTTGTCCTTCATGTCACAAGAGTAAGCACAGTGAGGAGCCATAGCTAGGGTTTAGCTAGCTAGGCAAGAGAGAAATGAACAAAGGAGGGGTTTCACTAGTAGTAATTGGGATACATATAGCAAACCCTAACAGGGTTGTACTCGCTATAGAGCACCCCACTACAGGCTAGATAATAACATTCTGACACTCCCCCATAGCCAAAGTGGGGTGTAATCAGCAGAGCACACAGTCATAGAGCAGGTGCACAATTGCAAGCAAAACTAGAGGCTATCACAGAGGGCAAGTGAGGAGGAGGAGAGACTGTGGGGGCGAGAAGTTGGGAGGCGTCTGCTGAAGCTGTAGACACACAGGAGCTGCTGGCTCAGTGGCTACCGAAGCAAGGGCCCGGACTACAGGAGTAACTGGCTCCGCGGAGATTGTAGCCTCCTGACTGGAGCAACTGACCCACACGCGACTGGCGACTACCAGAGATTGTAGCCTCCGGACTACTGGCGCTGCTGACGACACGACGGTTGCCTCCACTCAACCTCCCCCAACTGCCCCACGCCCCTATCACACACCCCGTGCTGCATCCCTAGCTCCACTCCCGCGACACCCCCCTAGCACCACTCCTTCGGCTCCCACACACCCACCCCCCTGAGCGGCAGCTGCAGCAGCGGGAGACGGAGGAGGAGGAGTAGTGGAACGGCGCACAGAAACTGCACCCCCATACCCCCCACCCCCAAACCCTAATTCTGGAGAACAGGCAGCAGCAGGGGTGGGGCGCTGTCAGAAGCACGGGGGGCAGCGGGCAGCTCAGGGGTAGAGAGGAACGGGCCGCCCACGGGCCTGGCAAACCCAGACGAACCGCGCGCAGGCGGCCCGAGCCGCGCGCGGGCCTGGCGCAGCCCGTACGGGCCGCGCGCGGGCCTGGCGCAGCCTGTGCGGGCCGCGCGCGGGCCGGGCGCAGCCCATACGGGCCGCGCTCGGGGCTAGCGCAGCCCGTGCTGGCCGGGACGGGCGACTGGGGACAACGGGCTGGTCCCCGTCGCCCGTCGAAGCGCCCCCCGGGGGCGACGCGCGGACCGACGGGGCAGAAAGCCGCCGCGCGCCCAGAAAACCGCCGCACGCTCCGAGCGCGCAGCGGGAAGAAAAAACCGTCGCACGCCACGGGGCGTGCAACACACAGAGTAGCAGCGGAAGCAGTTAGGTGGGCCCACAGGCCAGGAGCGTAAATGCTCTGAAACCATGTCACAAGAGAAAGCACAGTGAGGAGCCATAGCTAGGGTTTAGCTAGCTAGGCAAGAGAGAAATGAACAAAGGAGGGGTTTCACTAGCAGTAGTTGGGATACATATAGCAAACCCTAACAGGGTTGTACTCGCTATAGAGCACCCCACTACAGGCTAGATAATAACATTCTGACACTTCAGCCGTCATATTTGCTTGGCCTCCGGATCCTTCGGCCATCTTGGTCTTGGAGCGTGTGCCGCTCGCCAGATCTAGGTTCAACGAATTTTACGGAAGTGAAGTTGCAAAGAATCCCTGAGTAGCTCTCGTACCATGTTACAATCTGAAGTGGGACTTAGCGAAGGATCGCTCAGGGCTGATCGCAGGTAATGTCACAGCGGAAGTGTTGAACTCAGGTCAGAGTGCATGTAAATGATTGGGATGATAAATAGCATGCATACATCGAGTTAATTTAGGAAATACAAAGGAATGCGAAACATCATGAACTAGCCATGTACTCGAACGGGTACATTCCCTTATTGCAGCAAAATTCAAATCGTGCGACGCGGGAACCAGTTTCGAAACATGTTCCTACTCTTTAATTTCAAATGTTTCTGCCTGCATCGGTCTTGGTCAGACGGTTGGAGGTGTCTCTTCGACTCTTCTGACGCCTTGACTTCGTACTCGCTAGAGTCGGCTACTACACCATACAGGAATGCCTTCTCATAAAACTTCATATCGCAGCACATAGCACTCTGCTCAGCCACCAAGGAAGGACTTAACCTTCGCGAACTACTGGAAGAAGCAAAGTTG